CTATTTTATACATTGTGGTCATTACTGGACGTAAAACTTTGTGTATGCATGCACAGCACCGTCAAGCTCCAGGGAATGCATTCCTTCACTTATCTCCTCTCTGTCACTGTTTCATTGCCTTCCTTCACTTCACATTCCAGCAGCTCATTAACACGACTGATGGAGTGCACACGTTTGAAGTTGGAGTCATATTTGTAGTCTAAGTTTCCCTTGAAGAAGTGCACAGATCCTGTGGGGAAATCAATATTCATTTAGAATTTGAAACTTAAAATGTATTGTGGCAAACTGTGTTTGCTGTATGGGGCAAGGGCTGTCTGTGTACATTGCATTTAAAAGTACTCATAATTAAAAGGTTTAAATACCTTGGATAGAAGAAAAAGTGATGTAAGTACCATCATAGAAGACAGCTGCATCTATAGGCGTTGGGATCTCTGGCCACTGCTCCTCAACAGACATTGGTGATCCCTCCATCAACCTTTGTTCCTCGTTGTACCTACATTATCACATATAATAATAAAATATAATAGTGATTTTAGAAAAGCAGAGATTTCCATGGGAAGTGTGATAAACTACGTGACTAATTTACTTAAAGCACCGTTTTGATGACAAATACTCAAGTTGGTGACAACAATTGATTCTGCAACCACTTGTGCTAGAGATGTGTAATTTTGTATTACATCAAAGCGTAAGCAGGAAGCCTGTCTGGTATAGACTGGTTCTCACGCAATGATGTTCTGTTATGCAACTTTTCAGCAGCTCAACAAATATGAGCAAATACAAACCTCACCTGCCAAACCCACTGTGAACAGCATCATAATATATATATATATATACGTAAATAAGGACAGAAGTAATTTATAGACAATAATCATCACCCCAACGGAGACAGCTGGCTGGAAGGACTCTTCTGAGCTCCCAGTGGAGACGAGGAACAGTTGGATGGACTCTCCAGGGTTCTGGATGCTTTTAACCAGGGAACCGGCTTAGGTGCAGGAGCTAGCTGGCCCGCTGCTGCACCCACCCGAGGAAGTGGAATCATGGAATACATGTACCAGTGCTACATATTTAAAATACAAAATATGAGTAACTTTATTCAGTTACAGCTACTGCTTAAATGGGTGGTAATCAGAATACAGTTACTTTGTTGAAATAAATATAATACACGGCAGTCATTTCCAGTTTCTCCAATTTTGGTGATTAAATGCAGTCAGGCGCAGGTTTAGCTCAGTTGAATAAGCATGTAGTCATATATTGAATGGCTGTGAACGCATGGCCCGGGTTCGA